TTAACTGCTCCAAGTGCAAAGTGATTTTCATGTTAAAATTAAAAATACTTCTCTTCACTTGAAAATTGTCATATTGCATTTTTATAATCTCTGAAACATTATATTTTGTCTGTAATTTTCTCTACCTAACTCTATACTCATTCAGTCAATTTGACCTCGTAACCACCTTACAAAAATATGAAATAAATGTAAATTACCTTTTTTCTTTCTGGAATGAATGCAAATTGTAACATGAAAAAAACAATTGTTTGTCCTAAATAGCTTACAGATGATAACATTACACATCTGTTTATACCTAATGTTACTGTTTTATTGCCCTTTGACCTGTGTCTAATTAAAAGTTGTAAGTCACTCTGTGAACATTTAGCTTAAGGTACTGCATTCAATGATGCAATGCACAAGCTGGTTATGAACATACTTTGTGAAGAATTATTATGATTATATTTATTTCAGACTCAATAAATTCCTGCTTAATGTTTTAGTAGCCTACCAGGGAAGTACAACTGTTGTCCCTCCCAATAATGGAACCTGATTTGGTCATAATGATGTAGAGCTTTAAATGTTATTTCCTTAGGAATAAAGTGGATCGTGATTGGCAGTTTTTATTCAGGATGTTCTCTTAGAAATTACAGATACTTCTCTGTTTTTTCTGGTCCACGAAGACTGTAGCTGAAGTTATGATAATAAAATCTAATTCTTCTCACAAAAGAGGAGATTAGACTAGGATTTTCCATATAGAGATCATAATGCACGTGGCTAATCACATAACCTGAATGAGAGTTTAAGGTTCATGTAAATTAATAAATAAATATATATATATGTGTGTGTATGTATATCAACCACTGAATGAAAATAGAGAGTCGAGTAGAGTAAGATAAAGTTTTGAATTACAATTTTAAATAACAATTATAAATTGGGAATCTTTTTTTTTATTAATGATAGCTACATAATAATGGGCATTAATGTTTCAGGTGGAATCAAAATCTGCCAACATTGAGCCATGCAACTCCATAGCTGGATTTTACAACCCAGATGATAATGAGGTAAGATAAGCTTTGTTACAAAATCTATTCAAACTAAGCCATGTAAATCTGTAGTTGGATTTTACAACCCAGATAACAATAAGGTAAGATAAGCTTTGTTACAAAATCTATTCAAACTAAGCCATGTAAATCTGTAGTTGGATTTTACAACCCAGATAACAATAAGGTAAGATAAGCTTTGTTACAAAATCTATTCAAACTAAGCCATGTAAATCTGTAGTTGGATTTTTCAACCCAGATAACAATAAGGTAAGATAAGCTTTGTTACAAAATCTATTCAAACTAAGCCATGTAAATCTGTAGTTGGATTTTTCAACCCAGATAACAATAAGGTAAGATAAGCTTTGTTGCAAAATTTCACAACATTGAGCCACACAATTCTGTAGCTGGATTTTATAATCCAGATTGTAGCAAGGTGAAATAATCTTTGTTATTGAGTAGCAAGCCCTGACATTTGAAAAAATGCACAAGGGCTGTAAACAGTACATGATACTTGTTAGTGGGCTGGTGCCATATCTCTGTTCTTTGTTTAAGAAATTAGACAGTAAAAGTTAACTTGTATTGACTGAATTGTGAACCTGTGATCATATTTCAAGAGTGAAGTAAGGTTAAGAGGGAAATATAAAGCCTGGTGAATATATTAATTTGATGAATAAACAAAGTAATAATCAATAAAAAAAATTTTACACAGTAAAAATTAGAGAAACTATAATACTATAATCTCCTTAAAGTCTGTAATATAATATCTTGACTGGAATCACATGCCTGTGATGGTTTTATTGTCTTGAAATTTTTACAAGTTCTACAGTAATTCCTAAATCTGAAAATGTAACAGTTAATTATTTCAACAGTAATCTTTACTGCTTAATGTGTTAAAATGCACACTGTAGAAATGCATGCAATAGATTCAATTAGACTTTATTATTTAAACTATTTTAAGCTTTCTACTGTTAGTTAAAGTTTGTGTTTTAGTGGAATGCTCCTGAAGAAGCTGTAGAGTAAAATATTGAGTGTCCAATTAGAGAAAAACAACACTTTGCTGTGATAAAGTCATTTATTTCAAGTATTAGAATGAGACTATACACCAATATGCACTACAGAAATTAGATAATTTATTTAAACTGTTAATTTCCCATTTTAGTTACAATTACCCTTAAAAACCTAAGCTGTGAACTTCAAGGCTTACAGTGCCAAAATTCCAGGTTCAACTGCAGAGGATGTCAAGCATATTTAGCCTATTATACAAGTTTTTGCCTAACTACAAACAGTTTGAGGTGTATGTATGTATGTATGTATGTTATAAACAGTGTAGCTTGTCTCTGAGTTGTATAATCTTTTATCCTTCATAATATTTTAATCATTGCTATGAATAATTCTTTCTCAAGTCATAATTATGTTTTTGGCTAATAAAGGCAATTTTTAGCATAGCTTTAATTGATTAAATGTTCAAAAATATTGCTTCATAATTCAATTTTATATTCTGTAATTGTTAGAGCATAGTTCTTTTTCTATAATGAGAGGGAAGAACTATAAAATAACTATCTTGCTGCATTGTGCCTTAAGGCTTATTGTTGCCACATCACGTGAAGAAGATAAATAGAACAATGTAGTCAGTGTTTATGCATAACAGTGATTCTATTGTTGTCAAATGGAAAATCAACTAGAGCAGATTTGAGAACTTTAATTGCTTGCAACTACTTCTTGAAAGAGAAGATAACATTTCAGCTTCTATACTCAGGTCTGTGTAGAATCCAGAACGTCGCCTACTTCTCTTTCAATGGGCAGTTGCAGTCCATTAATGTTCTCAAATCTAATACATATGTCTATTCTGCTTAAGTTCCACTAAAACAAGATCAACTAGAGCTTTAAATAAAATAATATGTGTAATACAAGGGTGATATAGGTAACCTCTGGATGAATATAATGTGTTTCTTTTTGTGGAAAATTAAGCCTGTCACGATTTTAAGTTATTTCATGGTATTATACATTTTTATGGTTATCAACAGCTTAGCAAGGAAGAATCTGGGATAAGTCAAGAGAACTATAAAAATATCAAGAATGAAATAGATTCAACTTCTTTAGAAAAAGAAAATGTGGTATCTGTTGATGATAAGCAGGAACAAGAATTACCAGAATTTGACTATGTAGAAGAAAGTGAAGACAGTAACAGTGATATTGAAGAAGACAGTTGGATTACACCAAACAATCTTGTTGAAGTCAAAAAACAGATGGGAGAACTAACACTTGAAGATCACGTACCTATTGTTGCTTGTGCTACTACTGATTTTGCTATGCAAGTAAGTGTAATAAAGATGTTCTTATTGTTGCATGTGATATTACTGGTTTTACTAGGTATTTAGATATGATGAAGATATGTTTTATTGCTGCGTGTGATTCTACAAACCTAACTATGTAAATAGATATAATGGAGGTATTCTTATTGTTACTTTTGGTTCTACATACTACAGGCTCAGGTATGCAGGTAGATATGATGAAGGTATTCTAGATAGATAAAATGAAAGTATTCTGTATTGTTACTTTGTGATACTACTGTTTTAGCTAAGCAGATAGATATGATAAAAGTATTCTGTATTGTTGTTTGTGATACTACTGTTTTAGCTAAGCAGATAGATATGATAAAAGTATTCTGTATTGTTGCTT